AAGGTCTCGCATGGATGGGATGGCTTTGGTGAATGGGGGCTTGATGGACATAGCGCTCCTCTCGTATCAGTGGGCCACGGGGAGGGGAGTTCAGACGCGGATATAGCTCATGACCTCTTCGGTCTGTGAATTCCACCACGCCATGGGAATAGCGTGATGGTGATCTCACGCCGTCAGGGGATCTTGGCTCAATGGACGGGTGGAGGAAATCTTGCAGCTGGTGGCTCTCTCGAGCGCGGGCACCTGCGTTGTTGGGGGGTGCAGGAGGCAGCCTCATCTGCGAACCCGCATGATTGATACGCTCCATGGGGGCTCTGTTCTCGATGAATTCAACAGGCGGACCCTGTTGATGCGCTCCGTGACTAACGGAGCTGCCCGCCTGGTTCATGCGATCATCGGGCCCGCGCTGCCGCTGTCTGGCGTTATCCCAGGCAGCGTTTGCAGCAGCCTCATAACGACTGAAGTTACGCTCACGATGTTTGGCCCGTCTGCGTGCCTTTTTGTAAGCCCTCCTGGACATCCCGGGCGTGGCAACAAGCATCGGAGATCCTGGATGCGACGGTATCGCTGTTGACAAGCGTTTGTCGCGGTTAGCGACGTTCTGGGCTACGGCCGGTGTCGACAATCTGCCAATGTTGTTGGACCTGGTGATGAGAACCTCTGACGAGTCGGAGTCAGGCTCCTCGTCCGAGTCCTCCTCGTCAGAATCATCGGAGAGAACCACTACCTCGCGAAGAATTTCGTCAAGCTGATCGCGGCCATTCTCGTCGTCGCCTCGCCACTTGACGAGGAAGTCAAGACAGAGCTGTTCTGTCACTCGCCTGGCATTGTGCCAGGTTGTCTCCCTAAGAAGCTGATCATATCTGGTATGGTTATGTCGAATGTGTGCCAGGACGGCAAGCTGCACTCGCCGCGACAGAGATAGTTCCTGCTGGAGTCCTACGACTAGGTCGCCTTTGAACTTTGTTCCCTATAGTAATTCGTTAGCACCTACCCATTTCACCCCTAAACCTCACGGCATCACAAACCTTTTGGAAGGCATGATCGATGATTTGTTGTCGATCCGTATTCGGAATGCGAGGGAATAGCTCTCGTAGGGCGGCGTCTGCCTGCTTGTCGATATCGTTTTGTTTCTCGGGAATCTTCTCAACCTGAGCGTCGCCTTGACCTATGAGTTCCGGCTCGTTGACACTGTCCAGTCCTAATTCCTCTAGCGCCCTGTCCACGATATACTCGCGAATATGGTGTCCGACACGGTGTATTTGTTGGCTCAAGTCCGAGGCGTTATTCTTGGCCATGGTCTAGATCACAACTGGTCAATCATCGTTCCTGACGGCTGTTAGTTTTCGGCATCGTCTTACCACAATGTAGACCGAGGCACCAGTCTCTCTCGAGATGTCCTTGCATCGTTCGGTCAGTTCAGGATTGCCAAGGGGGATATGCCTCATCCCAGGAGGCGGGGTTTTGTTTGTTGTAATCTGGCGCAGTGTTGGTTAGTCCGGTGGTCGGCAAGTGTCGAGGGAACCGCCTCGGCGCGGCATACCTGGAAGAGCAGAGGCTTCTTCTTATCTTTGTTCTCGATGAACTCGAAATATGACTGGTGTTTGCTGTTGTTGACCACAGTAACCGGCTTCGCAGCGACGAGTCCTGGCGGCAACGGCTGACTTCGGTCAATGGCTTTATTGATCTTGCCAGCCTTGCGGTGGCGGTCCTTGGCCGTGGTACCCGGGCCGGGGTGTGGTTTCTTCTCTCTCCCCATGTCTGATGATCCTCCTTTGTTATCAGCTTACCATGGTGGTTCGGAAACCAAATGCCGTCTAAAGCTGCCCCTCGGGAAAAGAAAAAAGATGATGGAAAACGACAGTTAGTGAGAAGAATGACAATCTTTGTCTCGCACCAGAGCCAACACGGAGACGGGGTGGTGTCCCAAGTCAAGTACGTCAGGCCAGGAAGGCGCGTCTGCAAAGTTGCACCTTCTTCCCGAAGGCGTCGACGTCAGCAAGTAAGTAGGTACTTGCTGCGCGCGAAGGAAACGGTAAAAGCAGGGATCACGCAGAGCGGTAGACAAGAAGGAAAGTTCCAATTTCCAGTCGGCGGAGACTTGGAAATATGCGACTCGTCAAAATCAGTTGCGGTAGGAGCTCGTTGCACTCGGATAAAGGGCGCGCGCGGACGGTGGTGCTTGGATGCTAAATGCGTGGAAGCAAAAGGTCACAAGTCACGACGGAAACGCCAGGGCTGGTTGAGGCAGAGTAGTGCCCGTTGAAGACGCAGACGCAGGAAGGCCCAAAAGAGGTCGGGTCGCAACTCGGATTCCTGCGAGGTACTATCGGCACGTGATGATAGTGGCGGGGTGTTGATGCACGGGCCCACCGATCTTCAGCCAGGTGCGCGAACTTAGGCATGCTTAATTGCCTACCTTGTCTAAAACCATATACCGAGATTAAGCGCCCGTAAGGTAGGTACGAAGGAATCGTCAAGAGGCTGAGCAAGGGAGGTCCAAAAGGGTAAACCGAGGTTGTTTCGATCAAAACTTTATGAGAGGATGCGTCTAGACCCTCACTTGCTTATAAGGTGCCCGATGTTAAAGGCATGAACAGATGTCGTATCCCGCACACTGGGCAGCCTGAGGTCACCAAACGAACATCGCAATTCTCTTTCAATAACTTATAATTTGATTGCAGTCGAATCCAAACTACAACTTGGTTTCTGTCCTTGCTTCCATTCCATTCCCAAGTATGCTCGGTGGTCCACATCATCCACCGAGCCAAAACGCCATCGATCATTGTGTATGCGCTTGTTCAACTGCGATTTGCATAGCTAGCAGATAGTTCATGCAAATCATCATTCCTTAGTTGTCATCCAGGGAGTTGAGATGCTTTTTTGTGAATTCGAAAGCGGAGAAAAAGATGGCGTTGACGACGCATGAGCGACCCATTGAAACCCCTAGTCCGCGATACATATTTCGTTTGAAGAATTCAATCTTCGGCGGCGGCTCAACCTGTTGCCCTTTCGAGTACAAGAGAGAGTTTCGCTGGTAGATACTCTTTGCCGAGTCAATGGGGTCTGCCAGAGTATTAGCGTCACTTGCCCGAGGTTCTTTTGCACCAGAAAGCACATACATATCATTGCCCAGGATACTATCCCGCACATGCCCCCAGAGATGACAACCGCGAACTTATTAGTCGTCGGGTGGTCACCACCAAAGGTAGTTCCGAGCTGCTTTCCGCTCTCGTATACCATGAAGTAAATGGCCGTACCCAAAGTATCTCGCACTGAAATGGTCAGCTGAGGGTTTTGATGGGGTTGTACGCCTGGGCAGACTTACACAAGTGCAAGTTGAAGCCAGTGTAAAGCCCCAGAGCACCCCTATGACGAACAATGTTGCGCATGGTCTTGAAAGTGCCCTTATTTTGGTAGCTTGCTGCAACCTGGTGGCCATTGGTGGCGCGGCAATTTGCTTCCTTGAGCTTTTGTTGGTCTGACAACAAGACAGCCACCTGCGCGCTGAGCTTGGTGAGCTCAAAGGGGCAGGCGAGAAGCGTGATACATGAGCCGGCAGTGGCGCCGGCGGCTCCAAAACAGGCAATGGAGTACAAATTCGGATATGTGCCTTTCTGATTCACATGCTGCAGCACGTCGAATCCCAGGGCGTTCTTAACCCAGCCCGAGTAATTGTGTTTGGCGCGTTGGTAAATCGAAAAGGACATGGTTCGGACGAGTGTGATGCTGGCCATTGGGGCAAGGACGCCTAGTGAGGGGCAAAAGAAGGTTAGTCAATGGGATCATGACTTGAGGCGAGATGAGGGGTCGCGTGTACAAGGGAGGTGGAGGAAGAGGGACAGAGGGAATGAGGGACTCCTTACCCCGAAAGAAGCCTCTCAACTTCTCGGTGCGGTATGTGTGCGTCACACAATCGAGGAAGCCTTCGTATCGGTAGGTCTGCATTCGCGTTTTCACGCTATCGAGGGGAAATGCAAGGACAGTCGAGAACATACTCGACGTGCTGGCGGCGATCTCGGTGCGATAGCGCTTGACCAGCCTCTGCGGGCGCTCTTCCTGAGCTCGAGGCATGATCGCAGTCGGTTGGCGGGCCGGAACATGATGTATCTGGTGATATTCGGCTTCTGTCGCTGGCATGCTTCTAGCAGTGACGAGATGGCAGCGCCTTCAGACGGTGATCTCGTGGCGAGAGATCAAAGTCTTCAGCGCGGTCGTGATACGGCCCTTTGCTAGTTGGGGTTTGGTCCATCCAGACCGCGCAGCAGGTGGAGTTGGGGTGATGGCGTAGACGAGCGACAAACAGGGCGACGGGATGACGGGCTCGCGAAGTTTGGAGGATAGACGGCGAGAAGCAGTAGGGAAATAGAGACGATGATGTTGATGACGAGTCGAGCGGTCAGAGATGTGAAAAGAGCTGTCTCAAGGCAGTCTGGGGAATCGAGAGCTGAACCCCCGGGAATTGACGCTGTTGTGCCCGCTAACCATGAGAGATTTGCGGGTTAAGATGAAAGAGAGAAGAAGGGAAGAATCATCGAAGGGTAAGGTAGGCGTGAACTACGGATACTTCAGAGGTAACTCGGATTGCGGGGTCGGCAGTGGGAATCTACGGCGTAGAAAGATACATCCGCATCACAGACCGTTGTATTCGTAGGGGCACCTCAGCTAAGTACTTAGTTGAAGGTACGATTACAGCCACAACCTATACAGCACCCAACCTTGCCTTTCCCTGACCTCAAGGCAAGCTCAGTTCAGCACCTTGCCCCCCTCGTCTTCCCCCTTCTTCACTCAACTTCAAGTGACCGGGTGAGGTTCCGACTCTGCGATGGTTGTATCAGGAGGTACCTTCAAAACCACGACCATTCCAAAGCTGCAGGACCAGGGCAGTTCGTGGTGCGGAAAGCTGCATCCTTTCCGCACCTGGGAGGCCCCCCTTCGGCCCCGCTGAGCGACCAGTCGTACCATTGCTGATTGGTATCTCCAGGACGCACCCACGCACTTCACTCCGTAGCAGCAGTAGCACCAGCAGAAGATACCTTTACCTTAGTGTCTGGGTCCACTGAAACGAGACCAGGGCCCCGTTGGATCTCCAACGATCCTGCGCTTCTCATTTGTTCCTCCCGGTAGCGGCCGCTAACACCAATCAGCCCAGATTGGCCAGTGTTGCCATCTCAAGAATCCACCGTCACAAGCCAGACTGCCAGTGACGCCTCTCCCAGTTCTCTCCCTGGTGGGCTATCTCTAGTGTCACAGAGTGTTTTCTCACCCGAGCTTTGGAAATATCGTACTTGTCCAGGCGGACAACTCGGTCGACCACCTTACGACAACAGCGGGTCGGTTTCACGGGGCGAGCCATGTTGTTTCCGAATTGGGTATTTTTGGTACTCAAAAACAGATTCCCAAGGGAACCACTCTTTTTATATATCTCCCCGTACCGGCAAAGGGCCGACCACCACCGCCCTGGCGGCCGAGACTCTTGGCTCCGACACGGGGGGTGTACACGGGGGTTCGCCTCAACTCTTCCCCCTCAGCCCTCAGCTCAGTCCGTGAAGGTCGGGCACCTCACTTCTCGCTTACTTCTCAACATTTGGGGCAGAACGCCCGCCATGTACGACAAAACGTTGTTGCCTCCGAGGTGCAGCCATCTAGGTCCCTATTCATATGCCCCCATCAACCTCCCGACGGGTTCTCTCTGTTGAATGACACTGTCTCAAGATCTCTGGCCTGATTCGGGGAAACTGAAGTAGCGTTCCGCAAGAGGCGAGGAATAATGAGCTCATAAACAGCAAGAATCAACATACAAGCGGGCGCCAGCAGCGCTTCGCGAGCAAATAATCGACCATGCAACCATCAACAGCTTAGACGGCTGCTCCAACCTTCACGTAGCCAAACGTGCTAACCAACCACAGGTGAGCCGTTTCACTTGCTGACCCCGCGCATCTGCAGATCGCCCGCCTGGCAAAGGTCGCACCAGCGGTCGTTTCTCTCCTCAACGCCAGTTTCCTCCAATGGCTTATCATTGGATAAGAGAATAGGTACTGCATCGCGACGTTTCGGGCTTATCGTGTTCCGTTCCGTCCTCTGCCTGCCGTCTTTCTACCCTGGCACCACAACAAGCCTCGAAGCGTGGTATCTGGGCTGATGATCCCGCCTGGGCATGCTGAGATGGACATGTCTCCATCAATGCCTGCACTTCCAGTAAGGTGGAACCGTTTGAGATTCTCAGGAGTTGGTCAAGCTGCACTCTTTGATGACAGCCAGTGCAGGCGTGCGAGTGCCAACTCGATCAAGACTACCGTGACTTGCTCGAGACCATCATCTCAGTCGAATACCCATCGACTTGTTCAGCATGTTTATCGTCATGTCATAGTGATTGTATACTGTAGCTTTCATGTTGTTGGCCTCTTGGATGCTGAATAATTCAACGTCAGCAACCGTATCTCTCACAACCGAATCAAAAGCAAAACTCACACATCCTTGCCCCGGGATTCCGATTCCTTGCGAAAGCTGACCTTCCACGTATCCATATTCTGCCTCTCCCAAGCCACGCGGACGAGGTTCTTGAGAACCTTGTGCTCGATACCGGCCTCTCTGCGAGCCGCCTGTATGAACCACAGTGTTCTCTTGGAAACCTCCGGGTCCCACACCGCGTCTTTATCGCGAAACGACGCTCTCAGCTGGTTGCGGACGGTGTACCTGTGCGGCGGTGCGAATTGAACCGCTCGTAGGAGCTCGCGGTAGAGATGTCTGTAAGCATGGATGATGGGTGTTTTATCCATCTTGGCCAAGTTTAGTCTTCTTGGTGTAGAGCAAGACTTTCGCTGGAGTAAAGTGGCTCTTTGCTCTCAAGAATCTGTCAATTGAATAGAGAAAATGGAATGTTTACTTGGGTATCCTGATTGATCGCAGAGTTATTCCTTGAAAAAGAGAAAAAAGACCCTGGCATGAGCTCCTGGTAAGCTCAGTGACCATTTCACTTCAGGGAGGTGCACGGACCATTTCAAGATTTCCACCCCAGGCACTCAGATCCGACCTCAACTCCAAAAAATTCCATCGCCGACCTCACACCAGACCACCTCTTTCCGCCCTCAATTCCACCCCCCGGCCATCCACCATGGCGCCCCGACTACCCCCGAGCTGCCTCCAGCTCCTCCGATCGACGACGACGACGATATCAAACACCTGTTCCGCCGCCGCCAATGCCTCGGCCGTCATCGCCCCTCGCCTCCAGCTCCTCCCTTTCACCGCGAAGCGCGGCGTAAAGTACGGCTGGTCCACGGCGCCCAAACGCAGCAAGCCCACCCGTTTCAACCAGCCCACCGCCGGCCTCCCCGTCCTCACCACTGGTCCCGCCGCCGCCCTCGCCCGCCGCGAGAAGACGACGCCCCTCCGCACCGGCGTCCTCGCCGTCAAGAAGGGCATGACGGCCATCTACTACGGCAAGAAGCGTGTCCCCTGCACCGTCCTCCAGCTCGACCAGGTCCAGGTCGTCGCCAACAAGACCCGCCCGGACAATGGCTACTGGGCCGTCCAGATCGGCTCCGGCTCCAAGGAGCCGCGCAACGTCGAGAGGCCGATGCTGGGCTACTACGAGGCCAAGGGCATCGCGCCCAAGCGCCACCTGGCCGAGTTCAAGGTCCGCACCAAGGAAGGGCTGCTGCCCGTCGGCGCCCAGCTGTTTCCGGACTGGTTCCAGACGGGCCAGTACGTCGACGTCCGCTCCAACAGCCGCGGCATGGGCTTCGCCGGTGGTATGAAGCGCCACGGCTTCGCGGGTCAGGAGGCGTCCCACGGTAACTCGCTCAACCACCGCACCATCGGTACCACCGGCCCCTCGCAGGGTTCCGGTTCCAGAGTCATGCCCGGCAAGAAGATGCCCGGTCGCATGGGTAACGAGCGCGTCACGGTGCAGAACCTGACGGTGCTCAAGGTGGACAACGAGCTGGGCGTCGTGCTCGTCAAAGGCGCCGTCGCGGGCCCCAAGAACTGTATCGTCAAGCTGCAGGATGCCGTCAAGAGGAAGGCGCCGGCGCTTCCTTACAGGCAGGACAAGTTGAAGGAGCTGTTGGAGGCCAACGTGGATGGCGAGGCGAGATTGCAGGAGGCCAGAGAGAGGCACTTGGTGCTGAAGAAGGAGAGGAAAGAGCTCCCGGCACTTGTATAGATATCGTCCACCCTCCCCCTTTCCTACTGTTGTTTACGAAAGTCTGTGTACTATACATGTTGTACATTTATCACCCCATTGAGAGAGGCGCATAGCTTTAGGGTCATTATCTCGCCCGACCCGAATTCCAACCCAATGACTTGAACTACCTCGAACCCATGCATGCTTTTGATGACGATTCCCTTCACGAGACCTTGAAGTGACTGTAGTGCTGCCCTGTATTCAACGGTCCTCCTTGTCTCTCTCACTCACTTGATATTCTGCCTGAAACCCCTCGTCTCCGCCGCCGACACCACAGCCTCGAGATCATCATCACTCAAATCATCACCCGGAATAGACCCCTTGAACGGATCCGCCCCGTCGAGCAGATCAATCTTGCGCCCGTCGGGCGTCTCCAAGCTCCACTCGGTCGTCTCGAACAGGCCCTTGTGCGACGTCCGGAAGCTGGCAAACTTCATGACGGCCTCGTTGCGGGACCCCTTGACGCTGAAGCTTATGTCGATGCGCCCGTGGAGCTGGTTCATCTCGCCGGCGATCCAGGGGATCTGGTGCTTGAACTGCACCTCGTCGCCTAGGTACTCGCGGGCTTTCGGGGAGGTGCGCAGCGCGTAGAGGGTCGAGGCGATGACGGGTGAGGAAGACTTTTGGTAGTTGAAGATTGCGATGCTGCTGAGGGCGATGGCGGCGGCGAAGAGGGGGAGGGTGCGGGACCAGCGGAAGGTGATCTGGTTGAGGTCTGTTTAAAGAATTGTGGTGGTTAGCGGATGGATGACAACGGGAAGAGAGAAGAGGGAAAGGGAGGGAGAAAGACGAGCAGTTTACCTGGGAGTTCTCGATCTGCGCGCCGCTCCATCAGCGGTCCGGACCCGGGCTTCGGCGCTGCGGTCGCCCATCTCCTTTGAGCCTGCGCTCTGAGCTGCTGTGGCTGCTGCCGTTGCCTCGCGGCGGCGCTGCGCAGCGAGGAGGCGAGCCTCCTGGTAGCTGTGTTTGAGAACATGCTGGAAATGAAACTCCCCGTGGAATCGAAAGCGTCCTACGAGTGAAGTCGGGGCTATCGCGTCGGTGGGTGTGGTCGGTTCGAATTTCGTGATGCCGGGCGTTGCGTCTAGGTCAAATTCTCGGGATGCTCCGAATCAGACCATGCAAGTTCGGTCAGTTCGGTCGGTCGGTCTCGACTCTCGGTGGGCGGGGCCAAAGCTCTCTCTCGAAAATTCCCGGGGTCCTGGCGTGGGCATTTGGAAAGCAGAGAAAAAAAGCAATCGATAAACAGTAACCAATCAGACCCTGGACCCAAGACCCCTGTCACACATTGTCCAGCTGTCGCGCGTCATAAGGCTGAGTGGTCGGTCACGGCCCCCTCTGCGAGAGGTAAGGTAGGTAAGCTCCATCTACACCTATTGCACCGATACCTTACGTAGCTACCTACCCAGGCTTCTACAAATCTGTCTTCATCGACTGGACTTGTCGATACGTAGACCAAGTGTTTGCGCCTTTAACAGCTACGACATCATTACAAAACACCAGCAACCCGCTGCAGCTCATCGCGCATTTGACAACCTCTATACTAAAATGGCAGAACCTCGAGGCGCAGCCGCTCGTCTGCGGCGTACATTCCACTATCCCACAGACGACGACTCGGCAGACTCACAGCCAGAAGCCATGGACGAAGAGGGTACGACGCAAAAGACACAAAAACCTCATTCCCAATCCATCCCATTCCCCTCACTCTTCATCTTTCCATTCCGTCTTACATGAAAAGCTAACACCCAATCCCCTAACCTAGAACAAGAAACCCTCATCCGCCGCCTCGCAGAAGATAACGCAGCCCGCAACGCCCAATTCGCAACCGCCCTCCTCGCCCTCCCCCTCCTAACAACGATCCCCTACCTCATAAACCTCGCCCGCCTCTCCGCCCCGCTCACCTCCCTCCTCTCTCTGACATCCCTCCTCTCGACCGCCTACCTCCTCCACACCCAACCCCCAGGCGCGACCGGAATCCCCTGGCTCGACGCATGGTCCCGACCAAAGACCCCGCGCCCCAGCCCGGCCTCCTCGCTCGAGTCCTCGACCTCGTCCGTCTCCGGCGGTCCGTCGTCCTACCAGCCCATTCAGACAACGCAGAGGAGACGCAGGCGGAGCTCCTTTTCTTTCGCCGAGGAGCAAAAAGGTCCACTGGAGCTGTATCTGCCGTA